GGAGTTCAAACTACGGACTTTCCGGTTACAAGGCAAGCGAGTACAGCATTCAGTCACTCGGATCCGGCTACTTAATTGCAAACGATGAATTCTAACTTCTACCAATTCGTGAATTGGTAGCACGATTGGCACCAACTAATGTCATCGGTGACGAGTATTTCTCCTCCCAGTTGACCTGCTGTACCCTACTGATTATGACTTCCCACTAGAATTCAGGTAGCTACCTACCTGAATAGGACTAGTTACTAGTCCGCATCGCCTTCGACAGCGTTGATCGCGAAGTAATTTGGAAACTACTCGAGTACTACGGAGTAACCAAATATTCATCAACCTTATTTAACGGCTGTATGGCAACGGCACATATCAAGTGATCCACAACGGAAAACTCAGCGAGGCGTTTCGAGTAAACACAGGAGTCAGACAAAGGTGCTTATCATCACCAATGATATTCCTAATTGTGGTGGACTGGATTATGCGTCAGACAGTGGGAAACGAGAAGACAGGGATATCCTGGACCGACGTGAAGAATCTAGAAACTAGAACCTGGATTTCGCGCGTGGATGATTTATGTTTGATGTCACACAAAATCGAAGACTTACAAGCAAAAACCGACAGACTGATTGAAGAAGCAGCAAACACAGGACTCCAGGTGAACATAGACAAGACGAAGATTATGAAAATAACCAACCAACCAACAACAGCAGCAGCAACATCCAGTGTCAATCACCATCAACGGGAGGGATTTGAAAGAGGTTACTTCATTCACTTATCTAGAGAGCATTGTCTCAACTACAGGAGGAACGGACGAGGATGTCAAATCGAGCGAGAATCGGGAAGGCGAGAAACACATTCATCAACCTGAAACCAATCTGGAAATCTTCATCACTCAGCCTGCATCAACAACAAAGTGATTCGGATTTTCAATACAAACGTTAACTCAGTCAGTCAGTTCTTCTATACGGATCAGAAACTTGGCGGCGGGTCACAAAGAATATTTCCAACAGCCTGTTGCAGACCTTTATCAACAGCTGTCTTCGTTCTATACTGAAGATCAGATGGCCGGAAAGAATCACCAACAAGAAACTATGGGAACAAACAAAACAAGAACCAATCGCCAAACAACAAATATGCAGGAGAAAGTGGAGATGGATTGGACACTCACTGAGCTGAGGAGGCCGCTGGGTGACATCGCGCGTCAGGCCAGTGCTCGAGTGGAACCTGAAAGGGAAGCGGCGAGTGGGACGTCAGTGCAAGGGTGACATGGAGGAGATCGTGTGAAGAGGAATTGAAACAGTATGGACTAACATGGATGCAGGTGAAAAGTACAGCAGAAGACAGAAGCAAATGGAGACGTGCAGTTGAAGCCCTATGTTCCACTAGGAACCCAAGGGAACAATAATAATAATAAACTAGTCCGCATCAGATTGCTATTCGAGTGTTTGTCTTCAAGGATTTGATTTGATTAGTTCCAGGATTTCTCTAACCAATGTCAGTTCATGAATACATCCTACAACCAATCAAATCTCACATGAAAGCGATATTTAGCTGTGCCTGACACTGCACTGACTGAGTTCCCTAAAAGTCTCCTTAGTCGATCAATTGATCCTTAAATAAACACCATACATGGACATCTAGACTGTGTAGTGGATAAATACTGAACTGAGATGACTGACAGTCAGTGACTCTAGAGAGTATATGGCTTAAGTTGTTTGCAGTGATTCACCAATAAGCATGCCATACACTCACATGAAATGTAAGAACCACATTGTCATGTATCTTTGTTCCTTTTGTAACAGCGGGAGGCAAGACACAGAAGCAAAGGTATATTTTCAACTGATCAAACCGATATATATGTCTTTGGATTTTGTGTGTCACTGACCACTCCGGCAGCCTATTAGTATTATACCTGATAACTCAAATAATTACGTAATCACAACAATGTGTTGAAAATGCCTTACTGTTTGTTTGTTTTCTACGCTATGATTTGTATAACTAGTCCAAATATCCATTAAGGATTTAAAAACTTTCTTCTCTAACAGATTTCAATGTTTGTCTGTTTGATTTAATGGAATTTTAGATTTTCCCGTCGATTGATTGGACCGAAGTGCTCAGTCTCAGGTTGACATGTCCGTCAGCTTCTTGTGCAGATGTTTCAACGATGTCTGGGCATTTAATTAGAATTTAATTGGTGGATGGTGACTAGCAATGGAATCCAGTATGTCAACCTGAGACCGAGCACTTCGGTCCAATCAATCGATGGGAAAATCTTAAATTAAATTAACATGACCTTTTGCACAAGAGGTGGCTCCCGTGGCCCAAGTCGTCTAGTGGATGACGCTTTGGCGTTTGAAACTATGGGCACTGGGTTCGAGCCTCGGTGGTGGGAACATCATCACTCACTGAGAAACGCAGGAACATCCAGATGACGAGTCCTAAATAGGACGAAATGCGCATTATGCTGGATTCCACTGCTAGTCACCATCCACCAATTGTCTGTTTGAAATTGAATTCATTTGTGGTCCGCTAAAACTCTTCCCAAATTCAGTGCATCAATTTTCAAGAGTTAGGTTTCAGGGATTTGATCTGGTTCAAGTTTGACCACGGATTGATATCAGTTAGAGAACCATTGAAAACCAGCAGGGAATACTGGACAGCTAACTGTTTCGTCACCCTAGTTCGTGAGTCTTCATCAGTAGATATCCAGTGGGGTTCGAATCCAGGACCTTGAAGTCGCATGGCAAGCTCGCAGATCATTCAGCTGCTTGGACCTCCTTTAATGGCCACACCATGAATTCCAACCTCTACTGATAGGTGATTTTTGCGCGAACACCACCTAAAGTCATTAGCAAGTACTTGGCCTCACGCCGGTTGGTCTTCTAATTGGCATCAATCCATAATCAAACTTGAATGCATCAGTTAAGGCAAATCTTACATATTATAATGGTGAGATGCATTCACAGACTCAGAAAAGAATCCTGTGGTGCTTCCTTATAGGCTCATAGCGGTTTATTTATTCTTTTTATTTGGTTAGAGGTCACTTACTGGGGAGGGGGCAAATATCACATGCACCTGACTATTAGCCACACACATATTCTCTGAAGACTGATGATACTCTCCAGTTGACCAGATTGAATTTTAGTGAACTTGGAGTGGAATCGGGGACTCAGTGTCTGAAAGTTGAGTGCTTAAATCGATTAACCACATGACATTTAAAGTATTTACTGTTTACTGGGTTATTTTGTCGGATTATTTCCTTAATCAATAACACTAATTACAATTTTAGTAGTACTCAAAAATTTTTTAAACACAATTAGTGCAACCAGTAATAATTTGATAAAAGTTACGCTGAGGAGTAATACTGACTTAGGTCTCCATATTTAGGCATAAATTATTATCATTATTATTACTTCCTTTAGTTCCTAGAAGAACATAGGGCTTCATCCACACGTCTCCATTGCGTTCGGTGCTCCGCCAACGTTTTCACCTGGCTCCACGTCTGCCAACAAGCCTTCATCTCCTCTTCACTTGAGCTCCTCCATGTTACCCTCACACTGACGACCAACTCGCCATCTCCCATTCGGTTTCCACTGGAGCAATGGCCTGGCAAGTGATATCACTCAATTGATGGTTTGTTTTCTCAAAGTATGTCCAGCCAATCCACCTCCATTTCTTCCTGCATATTTTTTGCACGATTGCTTCCTGTGGGGTTGGTTCGCTCCCTGAGACCCTACGCTGTTGGTGATCTTGAGTGAAGTACTGAGCGAAGGTGTGTAGTTTGTTCGTAGTTCCCTACGTGACGAGGCGCCAAGTCTGTGATCTGTATAGTCAGTAGCACTGACTTCACATTGGAGTTGAAAATTTGGATCTTATTTTCATTTTCTTGCTGAGTGCTGTTGATCTTTACACAGACTTGAGATTAGTGGAAGCTTGTCTTCCTTTCCCGATGTTCTTGGCTGCTTTGATATCTTCATCAGTTCCGTCTGCCTGTACTTGAAATGATGCTTCCAAGGTTGGTGTGTCGGTGAAGGAGGTTGCTTCCTTCAGTTTTCTCCCATTTATGCTGACTGATTGTTTTCTGTTGTCGTTGCTGTTGCTAATGCTTTTGGCCACTGTTTTGGCCTCTGTTTTCTCTATGTTCACCTGAATGGCTATCTTCTTTGAATGCTTCTTCTTTGAACTTGATGCTCTTCACTTGCATATCTTCCAGTTTGTGAGAAATAAGACAAACATCATTGGCGAGTTCCAGATCCTCCAGTTTTTTGTGTGGGTCCATTTTATGCCTGTTTCCTCGCTTCCCACCGCTGTCTGGCACATTATCCAGTCTATCGCAATCAGGTAAATCATTGGCATAAAGCCTAGATCATTCTACGCTGAAATGAGAATAAAACGTAGTGGTCTATCCGAAGTATTAGTTGGTTACTGATATATCAATCTGCCCACTGGTTGAATAGTGAGTGCTTGAAACGCATTGAGCAGACAGTTTGTTTTAATCGAAAGCTTTCAATTTATGGTAGTCACTCCTACCATAACTTTTTAACCAATGATAAATTCTATTCAGTTTATGTTGTCAGCATAACTTTGTTTTCAAATGGCAACTAGTTCTGTGGTGAGAGCTGACTACTAGCCAAGTGGTGGACAGTAATTGAGGTCAATGTTTATGTATCAAATATTAGTCGTGTTGTGGTGAGAGATGGTTGCTGGCCAAATTGGTTGACAGTAATCGAGGTCAAAGGTCAAGGTGAACAGGCGGTTACAGTTAACATATAGATGAACTGACACAGCCACAAGAGATGCAAGGTTAACTTTGTGTGAGAAACAACCAATCAACAGACTGTATTTTCTACTAACATTGACCTACAATAATGTACATAAAAATCTATAAATACGTGTTGATTTTTCGTAATAAACGATCTGTTGCCTGGCCCTTGTCTTCTGTTGTTACAGTTCTATATAATTTTCTACGTGGTTTCTTTCTTTCTTTTTTCTGTCAATAATTTTAGTTTAACATTGCTCAAGGAACGTGTATGCGAAAATTAATGCGTATGCATCATTGTGCTTTATGTGCAGGCGAAACTTTATCAAGACCTTGTCCTGGATTATGTTTAAGAATATTACTCAACTGTCTGAAACCATTGAATCAATTAAATCCACACTGGCATCGTTTTACAGGTGAGCAGAATGTTTTATTTATACTGACAATAGAAATATCTGTTAACTGGTTAGTTCTCATATAATGGTGTATATTATGGCAGTGATAATAATAATAATCTTTAAAACTAAACAGATCTGAGAGGGAACAGCCAAGGGTGATGAAAATATGATGGAGAAGATTTGTAGCTCAAGTGGATGATTTTGATACAGTTGTGTTCTCTAAGTTTGATGGATGGTTTATTTACGAAGCTTTCATCGACCTACTAAGCGAATTCTTCAGCATGCATACTTCAATTTGAATGAAGTGAACTTTAGATTTCTCCACGAGTTAGTTTATTAGTCATCTCTCCTGGTGTGTGACCTTGTACGTCATCATTGGTTGCTTTTGTGTGCTTTCACACACTCTAGGCTACTTGTGCTGTTGGCCTTGATATTGATTGTTTCCTTGTCCTGAAGTTTGACACTTTTTTTATGTGAAATTTTCTTTTTATTGATTGATAAAGTTTGACTATGTCGATGTGTCTATTGTGAATTCGGTGACTCACTCGAATATTTGAACGTTGGTTGTCCCAGTCGAATTGATGTCCCTGATTGTCTGTAGGCAGAGATATGAGCGAGAGAGTGGATGTCATGTCTTTCGATGGCTGGTTTATGATCATGGATACGAAGACGAAGAAGACGTCCACTTTGGCCAATGCAGTGTTTATCGCAGTAGTTACAATTTATTTTGTAGGTGATGTTGGTTTTATCTTTTGGTTGACATAGAGCCAGCCGAGTGAAGTGATTTTGTTTGTTTGTGTGCGACGTCAATTTCTAAAGGTTTGAAGAGTCTTGCAGCGATTTGTTTTGTTTTCCTTGTGAGCCTTTGGTTTGATTCGTTGGCTTTGGGGTATATATCTTTTGATGAAATTCCGTGGATATCCATTTTTTCGGAAGACGTCCATGAGATATCCTTCTTCAATTTTCCTTAAGGTGGGAGTGCTGCAATTAGCCCTGGGCCCTATTGAATAGTGTCTGCATACAACTGTTTTTGTGTGTTGTTGGATTGTTGTTGTTGTAATTCAGTATTTGGTCTATGTGAGTTGATTTTCTAGAAACTTGAGTTTCTAATTCCCCTGTGGTTGTTCACTTGACTAAGACGTCCAAAAACAGGATTTTGTTCTCGGATTCCTCTTCTCTTGTGAATTTGATGTCGTTGAAGACGTTGTTTATTAAGTTGTGAGTTTTATCCAACTTGTTTCTTTTGATTATTACAAATGTGTCGTCTACGTAACATATCCAAATCTTGGGTTTGATCTTTGGTAGGATTATGTTTTCGAGCCTTTGCATCACTGCTTCTGCAATCAAACCTGATATTGGCGATCCCATGGGTGTTCCTTTAACTTGTTCATATATTTGGCCGTTGAAATGGAAGTACATTGTTAGACATAGGTTTATGCATTCCATCCAACTTGTGTGTTGCATTTTTGATTGTTGTGGGAGGTGTTTTTCGAAGCCTATAGCCACATTCCTCTTTGGGACATAGGTGGTCTTGTCTAAATAGTGTGAAATCATTCAGTGAGACAAGATTGTCATCAAAGAGATCGTGAAACCGAGTTTCCTGCAGTGTGATAAGTATCATAGGATAAGAGAGAGAGACTGCAGATACATAATCTTGTTGAGAAGAGAACAGCAGTTGGTACTAATGGTAACAGGAACAGTAGTACGATGTACAGGTGTGCCTTCTAGTGAGCATTGCCAAGCCCCGTGATGCTTTTTTCTCAACTTTGTTGGAAACTTCAAGTTTATTTTAGACATTTTGAAAATTCACGAAGGTAAATAATACATTTGACGTACTCTGATACTGAAGTAACACGAAAGATCAGATTTTTGTTTTCGCAATATTGATAAATGTAAAGCAACTACAGTCTAGATAAGGTTATACGCTGTGACGAGTTTGTCAACAGCAGAGTTTTCAATGACGTACCAGTCTGTTAACATCTTCCATCAATAAAATCAGTTCAGCATTCATCTGCATCCACTCAAAGAGTATATCACTGCTATAAGTCATGGAATTTCGTGTGTGTGTGTGTTTGCGTGTGTGTGTGTAAGTGTATGTGTAGGTCTACTTCGCTTATTGCTTCATCTCAATATCTGATGCCATGGATTGCAACAGCACTTCTGACATTTTAGAACGATGTGCACTTGTTTCGACGGCTCAGTACCTTTATTGACCTTCCCAACTCACCTTCTATTTCGTATCTCAATAAAGCAAGAACTACAGTTTTTGCAGAATAAAGTGGTACGATCATTTATTTCGTTGCCTTCTCATCAGCTGCTTACAGGCCAAAGTCATTATTAAGTATATCTACAGAAACGATTTTGAAATACTTGCACAGAGTTCATTTTAAACAAAAATCAATCAATCAATATATGTATACAGGTTACATATATATAATATTAAACACTATTCCGAACAATAATAATCATACACAATGGAAACTTTCGGCATTACGTAACCAGATGAAAGAGAGATGAAAATATCCAGTTACCAAGATGGGCAAAGAAAGACTGATAACCGCTTCTTTCTGGACGCATAAATCAGGTTTCAGGCGCTTGATGGAAATGGCTTCAGCAAACTTGAGGAGAATTGAGCTGTTTCTTTACGCTGGTAACTGGATATTTTCATCTCTCTTTCATCTGAATACGTAATGCCGAAATTTTCCATTGTGTATGATCATTATTATTCGGAATAGTGTTTAATATTACATATTTATATACACATTATTACTGTATGCATATTTTGATTGATTGATTTTTGTTTAAAGTGAACTCTGTGCAAGTATTTCAAAATCGTTTCTGTAGATATACTTAATAATGACTTTGGGCTGTAAGCAGCTGATGAGAAAGCAACGAAATAGATGATGGTGCCACTTTATTCTGCAAAAACTGTAGTTCTTGCTTTATTCAAATTCATTAAGGGGAATAAATGTATGATATTTCGTATCTGTCATATTAGCCAGCAGTTGAATATACCACTAACGTTTCGTCGAATTTATTCACGTGTGTGATTATATATCGCTACCGAAGCCTTGACCCTATAATAAATCATTTCAGGTATCAAAGTTTTAGCCGTTAGGAGCTATTTCGTTCCCTGAGATTCAGCCTTTTTGTAGTTCATATTGCCCTACTTCCTCAGATCGAGTCCTTGTTAACATATATGCATAACCCTACATGATGCAGTAGGAGAGACATCGCTCTGATGTATAAAAGAAACCTCTTTTATGTATTACAAACAGAGGTTGAATATTACACCGTACAGGTAATCTTGAAGTTTACTCGCCAGGAGTTAAAAAATAGGAAACATTTTTGTCATATATCCAGATGGCAGGGATCGTGAACCTATCGATGGTTTCAGAACACTAAGCCTAAAACGCGGAATACTATTTTTTTTTACAGCTTGATACCACACCGTATTTTCAGTACAAGTATGATGCACTATTATCGACGCAGAAGAACATAAGACGGTTGGACAATATGATTGTTTATTCTTCAACCAATAACGAAACAGAATTACAATGTTTATTATCATTATTGTTCCCTTGGGTTCCTAGTGGAACATAGGGCTTCAACTACACGTCTCCACTTGCTTCTGTCTCCTGCTGTACTTTTCACTTGCATCCATGTTACTCCATACTGTTTCAACTCCTCTTCACACGATCTCCTCCATGTCACCCTTGGACGTCCCACTCGCCACTTCCCTTTCCGATTCCACTCGAGCACTGGCCTGACGCGCGATGTCACCCAGCGGCCTCCTCAGCGAGTGAGTGTCCAATCCATCTCCACTTTCTCCTGCATATTTGTTGGGCGATTGGTTCTTGTTTTGTTTGTTCCCATAGTTTCTTGTTGGTGTTTCTTTCCGGCCATCTGATCTTCAGTATAGAGCCAGCGAAGACAGTTGTTGATAAAGGTCTGCAACAGGCTGTTGGAAATATTCTTTGTGACCAGCTGCCAAGTTTCTGATCCGTATAGAAGAAAAGAACTGACTTGACGTTTGTATTGAAAATCCGAATATTTGTTGTTGATGCAGACTGAGTGACGAAGATTTCCAGATTGGTTTCAGGTTGATGAATGTGTTTGTCGCCTTTCCGATTCTCGATTTGACATCGTCGTCCGTTCCTCGTGTAGTTGAGACAATGCTCCCTAGATAAGTGAATGAATTAACCTCTTTCAAATCCCTCCCGTTGATAGTGATTGGCACTAGATGTTGCTGCTGCTGCTGTTGTTGGTCGGTTGGTTATTTTCATAACCTCCGTCTTGTCTATGTTCACCTGGCGTCCTGTCTTTGCTGCCAGCCTCTTCGACCAGTTTGTTGGTTTTCGCTTGTAAGTCTTTGATTTTTTGTGACATCAAACATAAATTATCCACGCGCGAAATCCAGGTCTTCTGGATTATTCACGTCGGTCCAGGATATGCCTGTCTTCTCGTTTCCCACTGTCTGACGCATAATCCAGTCCACCACAATTAGGAATATCATTGGTGATAATAAGCACCCTTGTCTGACTCCTGTGTTTACTCCAAACGCCTCGCTGAGTTTTCCGTTGTGGATGACTTGACATGTGCCGTTGTCGTACAGCTGTTGAATAAGGTTGATTTAATCAGTGCCAAAGTTTCTGACAGTATTTCTGCAATCTTCTGCCTATCTGTATACGACTGAGAAACGATAGTCTTCATGTCTCCAGCGAAATGCAGACCAGTTTAAGTAGACAAACAATGCAATGCCCACCAGCATTGACAATTCTCATATTCAGTTTTGAATATGCCAAAGCGTAATCGGAAAAAAATGCAGGGTTTGATATGATGAAATAGGCCGTAACAAAGCGAATAAAGTTTATACATAGACTGACTATTGGAGAGTAAACGGTGTCCTATGTTTATTCCTTATTGGTGCTGGTTGAATTAACCCCAAGTCAAATTTTCCATTGTAGTAAGTGAAATGAGGGACCCACCAATGTTGTATGATTGAATGTGGTAAGTTGGAAGGCATAAATTAGCGTTTCCTGCCTACTGACAATCATCATAATGGCGTATCTCCAATTTTGAAGGAACTGGGTCGAAACGCTACCAAGGAAATTTTACTCTCAAAAATAATTTCCAAGAGTTGGTTTGTAAGGATTAGATTTGTTTATACGAGTTTGACCACGGATTGATATCAGTTAGAGAACCATCGAAAACCAGCTGGCAGTACTGGACAGCTGTTTCATCCTAGTTTGGGAATCATCGGTAGTACGCACCAACCACAGAGGGTTCGAATCCATTCCGGTGACAAGGCGAGCTTGTATACCATTCAGCCACTGCGACCCGATTCAATGGCCATCCGATGAGTTCTAACTTCTACCAATTCGTGATTTGAGCGCAACCACCATGGGTCATAGAACTGGGTTGCAGTGGCTGAGTGGTATACGGGCTTGCATCTTAACGGGTGAGTCCTGGGTTCGAACCCCAGTGGTGCTTACTGCCGATGATTCCTAAACTCGGATGAAACAGCTGTTCAATACTCCCTCCTTTGGAATGTTTCTCTAACTGATATCATCCCGTGGTCAAACTCGTAAAAAAATAATTTCACCAATAATGTAATTTCTGAAATTCACTGAGGATTGCATAAATGGCTTAAAAGTGGTTGTTGTTCAAAGGAATTAAAAATTATTTGAGGTGAAGCTTGCAGACCTTCTGAGGCCAATTCATTCCCTATTTCATCGGCATAAGGCTGAAATCTTAGAAGTAAACTTAACTTGACCTTCAGTAATAGACTATAAGGAAGTTAAGCCTTCAGAACTATAATCTCGAAAGGATTTAATGCGCTTGAGACATGGAATGTTTTTATATTCACCGAAAATGATTAAACTGTTTATACATCGTAACGGGTAGGTTTATTCGATCGCAGTTTTTCATACTATTAAACTTAACTACTTATATTTAGTAAGTAGATAATGTAAAAAAAGACGTTTTTACCAATCAGAAGCAAGCCATCAGCAATCTAATTCTTCCATATAGAATTGCAACAAAGTGTGTGTATAACTTTTACAGAGTATTTATGTGAGAGTAATGAATCTACGAATCTGTATGAATACTTACCAACTTGAGTGAAATAAATAAGTAGTTAAATCAAACAAATAAAGGAAATATTACTAGTGAATAACACACTGTTCACCAGAATTTATTCAGAAATATACGAAGAACCAATTTTTAAAAAATAGGATTAGGGATAAAAATGACGAAAATAACCTAGATGTCAAAGCCTCTGCAGTACTGCTGTATAAAGAAGGAGTGCCATACCCCTTACGTAGGGTCCTCAGTTAGGCTATGATTAGTCGAGGAAGCATTTAAACCAACCAACCAACTCCCTCAGAGATAAACTTCGTCGACTGAAGGGTTCAATATATATCCAATTAAGAAAAACAATACAAATTACCAAATACCATGCTTCGATGATTGTGAGTATGGTCAATCACATAGGTCAGTCTAAATAGTGGTGGATCGGGTTCTGTCCTAATTCTCGTAGGGATAGTAGAATTTTCCAGATATTTAGGACAGGTGTAGCGTAAAAACGAAAGAAGATGGGAAGTTTAACGCACTGGTGTGTTTACAGGAAACCTACACATTCAAACAGATATTTGGATTTCCGATCGTCCCATCCTATGTCAGTGAAAATAGGATTGGTGAAATGTTAAAATAATAGAGCACAAAAACTAAGTAGTACCAGGGAAAATCTAAGACAGGAAGTGAGGCGTATAAGAGAAGCTTTGAAACTTAATTACATTGATAAATTGATCAGAAAGTATGCAGGGAAATGTAAAAGTAAAATGAATAATGATAGTAGTGATAGTGATAATAATATAATAATATTAATGACGACATGCATGTCAAACATGCGCAAGATAATGACAACATCAACAATATAGAATCTAAATTGTCAGTAGTAATTCCATACAAGGAAGGAACCTCGGAAACCTTACGCAGAATTCTTAACAAGGCAGGAGTAAAAGTGGCTAGCATTCAAACCCACAAATTCAATTAGAAACAAGCTTTGTCGATTAAAGGATCCTATGGAGCCTTCAAAACAAAACAATTTAATTTATCTAATACCTCACCTGCAATGATTGTCAGGTCAAATACATATGTGAAAGTTGTAGAACAGGTGCAGTCAGACTAGCAGAGCATAAAATCCTAGCAAAATCTATATTAGTTGACCCGAGTAAAATAAAAAATCTAGAGAATAGTTCAGTTACAATAGCACTGCATGCAATTACACACAACTATGCATACAATAGGATGGGATAGGATGACAGTTTTAAAATCTAATGTCACAGGGTGGAGGAAGAGATTGATAACTGACTGAGGCTTTATTTATCGAATCAACTGCAAATACATGTAATAGGAATGATTCAACACCTGTCCAGCCAGATATCTGGAAAATTCTACTACCCCAAGACGACAAATAGGAGAACAAAGAAAACTATCAAACAAAAGTTTCGAAGTCGTGTGATTATAATTGATATGATATGATATAAGTGTTTGGAAGTGATGATTATGCATCAGATATACGAGTTGAGATCATTGAATCAGAAGAAACTATCGTGACAATAATAAAGAGAATAGTAAACATCCAAAGAAACAGAATCCCTAATTATGTAGTGGATGAAGAAAATTGTTACGAGGGCGAACTAATAGTTTTTCAGCTGTTTCTTTCTGCATACATCAGTTTGGTTTGAGCTGTTTGATGACAAGAGATTAAGCAAACTTAGGTTAAGTTTGGTTTGCTATCCAAACGAATCAGCGAACACTTACCTTCGTGGTTTTATAAAGGAGAAAGAAGATCCCCCCGCCACAGCTCTATCCTAGAATACTTGATCGAATCCGGACACCAAGAAAACCCACAAAACAACTTCTCAGTTATCTACACAATACGTGGGAACCTTGGCAAAAGAGTACGAATTAAACTTCTTCAAACTGCAGAAGCAATGGCAATTCACATATTGAATCCTGAACTCTGCATACAAAAGAAGTTTGTTCAGTCACTAAATCTACAATGGTCCTGATCTATCTTAACACCAAACACGTAATTTTGTCTTACCTCTTTCTTCTTTGTTTGTCTGTTTCTTAATTGCATTATTTTCTACCCCAACCCTCTATTAAATCTCTACCCTCATGACGACTGTTGCTAACTCGATTTTCGTTTATTTTTAAGTGAATTCTACTCAGCTTATTAACTTAACTCTCATTCATTTTCAAGTGAATTCTACTCAGATTATTAACTTGACTCTCATTCATTTTTCATTGAACCCTATCAATTAGATTACGTCACCCAACCTACTTTTGTAACTTTATTTTAGTTTCTAACCAATTAACGCCTTCTAAATTACGTAATTTGTTGTCAAAAAATTAACAATTGCATTAACACATCTTTGGAAATATTCCTTTTGTTGCGAAGAAAAATTACTATAAATTTGCGGTTTGTACAGCTTGAGAATGATATCACCGATAAGTTTGGTTTGTTTGTCTGTTAATAATGGAGTAAAATCGGCATGAATATATACTTCGTGCCCTGCTTCGATTAGATGTCAGCCATTAGTTCTGTTAGAGGAATGAAGATCTTTGAGTTTCAGGCATTTTGAACTGTGTTCTATCAGTTCAGTGTCCGTGCTGTGGCATTCAAATTTGAATTTGTAAAGACATTTCCAATGGGTAACTAACTGTCCACTTTCGATTGATAAAGTTGATGACTAGTGGTGTAAAAAACAATGACATCGGGCGCCAGGCCATTACTCAAGTGAAACCCCAATGGGAAGCGACGAGTGGCTTGGCCTAGGGTGACATGGAGGAGATCATCTGGCGAGGAGGAGATGAGTGATTATGGGCGATCGAGGACCCAGCTAAAGTGGGCAGCAGAAAATAGAAGAAAGTCGAGATGTTTTGTTGAAGCCGTATGTTCCACTTGGAATCCAAGGGAACAATAATAATTATTTATGATGCATTAAACAGACTTCGATCTCAAAGAAAAAATTACCTGAAGATGTGCACTGATGAAAAGTTTTGAAGAATTTGATATCTAAGTCAGAAAGAAATCAAAACCGACTGACTCTAACCTTTCCCAAAATCAGGTAATATGCATCCACAGAATGCGGCTGATTAATTTTTATTCGTCAATCTTTAGTAATCATATATAGGGAATCCTCAGAGGTTTTTTTTCATTTTCGCAATAAAACCTTCGATTAAAATTGTACACTAACTCATTTATTGTTGATTTTTCATTCTCTCTTGTCTACCAGAAACCATTAAGGGTGTTGCAGAAATGCTTTTAGAAAAACCTCATCTAAGATTGGAATATCAATTGAAAGACTTTCCAGAACGACTTGTGAATTATTATTATCAATTGTTAAATACTTATCACAATTGGGTAAGAAAAATGTTTATTCTCAATTGAGTGTTGTATTCACATGTGGATAACAGAAAAGCCAGCACCATAGAACTCCTATTATTTATTTTATTTTATCATTCTTATGATTACAGCTCGATTCCACACCGTATTTTTGGTGCAGGTATGGAATTTTCAGCATGTGATATCGGTAGCCCAAATTTTGCAGGCCGACCATTGATATCAGGTGTGCGTCGGCAGGGGATCGGACCCCGGACTATATGCATGGTCGGCGACACTCCTAACCACTGTGCTACCGACGCACACAAGGTGGCCCTAGAAAGGGCCTTTGCATCGTTCTCTAAGCACGCTCACCACGAATGCGACGAGCCAACTGGATATCCTTCGGCATGATGGTAACACGCTTGGCATGGATGGCACACAAGTTGGTGTCCTCGAAAAGACCAACTAAGTAGGCTTCATTGGCTTCTTGTAGAGCAGACACTGCTGAGCTTTGAAAACGCAAGTCAGTCTTGAAGTCCTGGCCGTTGGAAAGGCAATTTCCGGATCAACAATTCAGTGCTCTTTTGGTAACGACGGATTTCATGCAGGGCGGCAGTAACAGACTTGCATCTGTGTGGCTTCTTAACGCCACCAGTAGCTGGTGAGCTTTTACGGGCAGGCTTGGTGGCCAGCTGCTTTCTTGGGGCATTTCCACAAGTAGATTTGCAAGCAGTCTGCTTTGTATGAACCATAACGAAACACCGAGAGAATTATTATTTTGTTTCCTATCCTGTGTTGGTGAATCTCAAATGCAAGCTTTTTTCGCTATTAGTTCTTTTTATGGATTTCGATAAAACAATAGGAAGACGTAGTTCATCTGAAATGTGTAATGTATTTGCACAAAACATTTCCGACATTTTGATCACACACGCCAGTACTTTTCATACACATTTATACAGAAAGCAGGAAAACATGGGCAGAAGGCATTATTGAAATCAATATTGTGAGCCTTCCCTTTGATGTACTTCGTCGTAGATTATGTTGGACACCTATTTCCCGAATCCGTTGTATCCGAAGATTTCACTTGTTTTTGTAGCAGCCACTTTGCAATATATTCTATAGCCCTAGTCTACAGAGACCTATGAGTCCTCTCTCTATGAGTGTGTCCACATATGCATGTAAATTGGTAAACACAATGGGATGTGATACTTTCGTCCAGATACTGTAAGGGTTTCACAGGACAGCATAGATCTTGTTTTCTCTATGAAAATAAGTTTGGCTGCATCTTAAGTTCTACTTGTTGTTGCCTTGAGTCTTTGTTTAGTAATCAGTCTTTCTTGATCACCCCTGAATGGCAAGGATATATGAACATGCGTTTTAGGAGCTGATTGGATCAGTAGAGCTCTTTGTTTGACACTTGTGTAAAGCTTAATTAATTTCCACGAATATTTCTTATCTAATAATACTATTTCAGTGTGGTGTTGTATTTCTTCTTCAATGTTGTCGGCACTACATATACGGTGAATGCATTTGAACAAACACTTAACCAAAGCCTTTTTATACTGTAGTGGGCAAAAACTATGATACTTTAGATACTGTCTTGTCCATGTGGACTTTCTGTAGACAGATAGTTTTACTGACCTATGTTGTCGGCGAGTTATGGGTACATCTGAAAATGGCCAGCAATCATTATTCTCCTTCACGTATGTTAGCGATAGGCTGTTTTGTACTGTAGTGATTAGGTTAAGGATTCCGATGACATCTGTTGGTTTGTCACAAATGATCATATCATGTTGTCTACATATCTCCTATAAAAAAAACTTTCCCAGTTGTTTCCTCAGCTATAGATTCTCAACATTTCACATGTATATGTATATCCTGATAATGGATGTCCAACATCATCTATAGCGAAGCACATCATAGAGACTAGCTGCAAGGTCAACTTAAATAATACCTTTAAACCCACATATAATAAAACAACGTTGGGTCACATACATAGATTCAATGAAGCCTTGGCCACAAAAAGGCTTAAATCTGTATTGTGTACCGAAAAATAACTTGTTACTACTTTTGAACCTGTTTTGGCATTCCAATTTAGAACCAAGGCTGAATTCACCTGAAGATATTTTCACCCTCTGCCTTCTTTAGTCTTTACGCCACACCCTTACGTCATCTGCCCACCCCTTAATTTTGACCTTGACCTGTACTGGAATAATTCATGCTCTCTTGCCTTGTATACAAAGTGTGTATGACAAGTACTGGTGTGTGTGTAATGAGAATGTCCAAAATGTGTTTCGCAAATACACTACAATTTTCATCCAGATAAGCTACATCTTTTTATTGTTTCATCGAAATATCAATTGCTCATCATTCTTGGGTCCCAGCGTCGAAGGTTTGCAGCAAATAGGAATTGGCGCACAACAAACGAAAAATTTCGACGTTTCCAATTTTTCACAAACTGTTCTACTTTGAGCTATTATAGATTTATCTAAGGTTTATGAGATAAAGAAATATAAAATCAAGGGTTTTTCTTTCAGAGAATAAAATGTCTTCTATGGTATTTGTAATTTTTTGAGCACAGTATTACTAAGCTATCTTGGTTGATATTGAGTCGATGCACACTTCATCGTATTCACACAACTCGTCATCTGGCTGTATCTCCAACCAACGGGAGTGATTCTGTCCACCCCCACCCGCCTACGTTGAGTAAAATACTCGCTATTAGGTTAACATGTAATAGAGCTGTGAAAGCTTTTTGCGAAATGTTAGATTTCCAAGTGCGGTGTGTTATCTATGAATCAATATCGGTGAAAGAACCACTTATGATCAAACTGGACTATTTCATCCTTGTTTTCTTGACTCAAAGAACAACAGTAACAACAACAGACAGCAATCATGCAGTATAAGTGAGAGAAGTGTGAAAGAAGCAACCTCCTTTACTTACCTACCTACCTACCTACCTACCTGGGAAGCATCCTTTCATCTACAGGCAGACAAAACTGATGACAATATCAAAGCAGCGAGGATCATTGAGAAACCAAGGCAAGATTTCATCACGCTCAAGTCTGTATGGAGGTCAACAGCACTCAGCATGAGAATTAAGATCCGGATACTCATCTCCAATGTGAAGTCTGTACGTATCAGAGACTCGGCACAGCACCGCATCACGAAGACCACATTGAACAAACTACAAACCTTCATCAATAGCTTTCTTCTCTCAATACTTTGCTGAAGATCAGATTGCTGGTCATAAAAGATCACCAACAGTGAGGGATCTCCGGCAATGAGCAAACCAACCCAGCAGGAACCAGTTGTGCAACAAATATACAGGAAGAAATGGAGGTGGATATAGCGTACTCTGAGAAAACAAACTATCAAGTGACATCACCCGCATTGCAGGCCATCACTCGAATGGAACCCGAATTGGAGGTGGCGAGTCGGTAATCAATGTGAGAATGACATGTTGGAGGAGGAGGTGATGTGAAGAGGAGATGAAAGCATGCGGACAGGCGTGAAGTCAGGTGAAAGTGTTGTCAGAGAAGCGAACGCTATGGATACGTGTGGCTGAAGACCTATGTTCATCTAGGAACTAAAGGAAACAATAATAATAACATCAGCGAACGCATAATGCAATGCTAAATTTACACTGAACGATGAAGTTTCACAGAATAATGCCAATCAATCAATAGGTTTCAGGAAATCTAGCAGGATATCCCTGAAACGAGAAGACAGGGATATCCTGGACCGACGGGAAGAATCTAGAAGACCTGGATTTCGCGGATGATTTATGTTTGATGTCACACAAAATCGAAGACTTACAAGCGAAAACCGACAAACTGGTCGAAGAGGCTGGCAGCAAGACAGCACTCCAGGTGAACATAGACAAGGTGGAGGTTATGAAAATAACCAACCAACCAACAACAACAACAGCAACATCCAGCGCCAATCACCATCAACGGGAGGGATTTGAAAGAGGTTACTTCATTCACTTATCTAGGGAGCATTGTCTCAACTACAGGAGGAACGGACGAAGATGTCAAATCAAGTATCGGGAAGGCGAGAAACACATTCATCAACCTGAAACCAATCTGGAAATCTTCGTGTCACTCAGCCTGCATCAACAACAAAGTGATTCGGATTTTCAATACAAACGTCAAGTCAGTCAGTTCTCCTATACCGATGGATCGGAAACTTGGCAGCGGGTCACAAAGAATATTTCCAACAGCCTGTTGCAGACCTTTATCAACAACTAACTGTCTTCGCTGGCTCTATACTGAAGATCAGATGGCCGGAAAGAATCACCAACAAGAAACTATGGGAACAAACAAACAAAACAAGAACCAATCGCCAAGCAACAAATATGCAGGAGAAAGTGGAGATGGATTGGACACTCGCTGAGCTGAGGAGGCGGCTGGGTGACATCGCGCGTCAGGCCATAGCTCGAGTGGAACCCGAAAGGGAAGTGGCGAGTGGGACGTCCAGTGGTGACATGGATGAGATCGTGTGAAGAGGATTTGAAACAGTATGGACTAACATGGATGCAGGTGAAAAGTACAGCAGAAGACAGAAGCAAGTGGAGACGTGCAGTTGAAGCCCTATGTTCCACTAGGAACCCAAAGGAACAATAATAATAATAGTAGCCTGAATGGTAATGTGATCTTCACAGTTGTGGTCTTTCACTTGTGAATTACTCTAAGTGAACACTGATGAAGTCTTACAGACCAGAAAAAAGAAAGACAAACAAATTCTTGGTGACAAACAATCTTCGTAGGTTCCCAAAATTTTGTTCAGTGCTTAGGTATTCCTCGGCTGTCAGCTTTTTAACTGACAGTTCTGTATTACCTCTATGACATTATTTAATATGTACCTAGCATAGTTAAAGGACAGTTAATTGCTCGATTATTTTATTCATTATAATGAAGGATTTTGTATTTCCCAATGAATGAAAAACAAAACGATATTACTGTTTTTACTGACATTTCGCTATGTAGTGCTGCTGCTAATAGCTTCATCAAAGTATTATTAAACCGGAATTTACAAAATCTCAGCATATACATATAACAAAGAGTTAAGGGGTGAGAAAATAGACTTAGGTCAAGTTGAAGGGACATATAGAAAGTCAAAATAAAAATGAAGATCACTAAACGAAATAACAAAGGTAATAGTACATCCGTTCTGATATCACAACAAAGTTTACTAACTTGATCATCGTTTGTCAGTCTGGGGTCATTTTTTGTTGTCAAGTTGGTCAATTGGTAAAGATAACAAAACCAAGTGTAGATTGTTAGATTTGATCAGTGTGTAAGATTATAAAAGTAGTGTGTGTTTACATAGTGAACCTGGAGAAAAATAAACTGTGTATCTCCCAGAATCCAGTTCACTTCGGAAGCAGAATCAGACGTCGGTGGACTACCATTTCTAGAATGCCTAGTTAAGAGAAAAGAAAACGGACGTTTTAGTATATCCATCTTCAGGAAGAAAACCCACACCAATAAATATTTAGACTTCGGATCGTCACACCCCATCAGCGCAAAGATTTCAGTTGTTTCAAGTCTTCTTAGACGAGTACGCTCTCTGATAACGGACGAGGAAGAAAAAGAAGAGGAAATATCAAACATAACTGAAACTCTCAAGCAAAACAACCACCCAAGGGACTTCATAAACAAAATCAACACAGACATTAAGTATGGCAGAAAACGCATTCCGAAAACATGGACCTCTACAGTCGTCATTCCATACAGAGCAGAGACGTCAGATGATGTCAGAAAAGTACTCAATCAGCTCACCATCAAAGTTTTCTTCAAAACATCAGACACACTACGAAACAATCTTGTCCATATAAAAGACCAGATCCCTAAAGATTCTCTATCCAATTGTGTCTATAAAATAAAATGCTTGGAATGTGATGCGATATACATAGGAGAAACATCTCGAGAAATCAAAATCAGAAGAAATGAACACCAAAGAGCCACCTCTGTTTGACCTCCGAGAAATCCAGTTGAACTAGAAAATCTTGAAAAATCATCAGCTATAGGTCTACATGCTATAGAATCAGGTCTCAAAATTGATTTTGACAATATTGAAATCATCCAGAAAAATTTCAATAATCACAAAGAACGTCTCATATCATTAGAAGCACTTCATATCAAGTGGAATCCAAACTGTCTACATAGGATTGATAGAGTAAAACAGAATCTGACCTGGTTACAACACCTCCCTCCCCCATGAAGTAACAAAATCAACACGAATGTGATAAGTAAGTTCACTATGTAAACACACACTACTTTTATAATCTTACACACTGATCAAATCCAACAATCTACACTTGGTTTTGTTATCTTTACCAATTGACCAACTTGACAACAAAAAATGACCCCAGACTGACAAACGATGATCAAGTTAGTAAACTTTGTTGTGATATCAGAACGGATGTACTATTACCTTTGTTATTTCGTTTAGTGATCTTCATTTTTATTTTGACTTTCTATATGTCCCTTCAACTTGACCTAAGTCTATTTTCTCACCCTTTAACTGTTTGTTATATATATATGCTGAGATTTTGTAAATTCCGGTTTAATAATACTTTGATGAAGCTATTAGCAAGCATTAAATAGCGAAACGTCAGTAAAAACAGTAATATCGTTTTGTTTTTCATTCATTGGGAAATACAAAAACCTTCATTATAATGAATATCATATACCCAATGCTCAATTTTTTTCAAACTGATAAAAGTGAACTTGGTTTGAACATAAATAAATTGATTTTTTTATATCTTTAATTTTGAAGCTACAACCACAGTGTTCAGGAATTGTCAAATTGTACGGAGTATTCAGTCTGATTAAGAATAATCTCAAGAGTGTACAACAAAGAACAAGCCGAAAAACTGAAGAACATTATTTAAAGAATTATAAGAAAGTTTTCGAACAAATAAAAACTACAGTGAGTTACAATTTTTTTTTCTTTTGCCGGATTTTTAGTTATATGATTCAAATTGAACTGGTCATTGTATTTTACGAATGATAATCGGACTCTTTATTCTCGTGTTATACTGACTTAGCGTCGGTGGCACAGTGGTTAGGACTGTCACCGACCATGCACATGGTCCGCGGTTCGATCCCCTGCCGACGCACACCTGGTATCAATGGTCGGCCTGCAAAATTTGGGCTACCGATTTCCATGCTGAAAATTCATACTTGTGAAGAAATATGGTGTGGAATTAAGCTGTAATCAAAAATAATAAAAAACATTAAATATTTTATTCTTTTGTGGTCATGAAAGCTTGTGTGGAAGTGTTCGATATTCATTAAGTACAACTCCTTTGGGTTTCATGCTTTATGGATAATCTTCCCTCCCTGTTAATCAAGAAAAGTTTGTGAGGTGGTGACTGCTATTCAGTGGATGTAGCAGTGGCGACATGTGAGAAAACATTGTGGCACTTTGATTTTTGGGTTTAATAATAATATTGATAGCTTTATTCCAAACAGTACTTTTAGTACAAATATAGACTCTTCAGTATGTAGTACAGTATTGCATCTAAGATTAAACCCAAAATTTGGATACGTTACGTAAACGACACATTTGTAATAATCAAAAGAAACGGGCTGGATAAAACTCACAACTTAATAAACAACGTCTTCAACGACATCAAATTCACAAGAGAAGAGGAATTCGAGAACGAAATCCTATTTTTGGACGTCTTAGTCAAGTGAACAACCACAGGGGAATTAGAAACTCAAGTTTGTAGAAAATCAACTCACACAGACCAAATACTGAATTACAACAGCAACAATCCGATAACATACAAAAGGAATTGTATACAAACACTATTCCATAGGGCCAGGACTCATCGCAGCACTCCCAACTTAAGGAAAATTGAAGAAAGATATCTCATGGACGTCTTCCAAAAAAATGGATATCCATGGAATTTCATCAAAAGATATATACCCCCAAGCCAACCTATCAAACCAAAGGCCCGCAAGGAAACACAAAGAAAATCGCTTACAAATTAGGACATCTCAGAAATCACCGCAAGACTCGTCAAACCTTTAGGAATTGACGTCGCACACAAACCGACAAAATCACTTCACTCGGCTGGCTCTATGTCAACCAAAAGATAAAACCAACATTACCTACAAAATAAATTGTAACTACCGCGATAAACACTACATTGGCCAAAGTGGACTTCCCCTTCGTCTTCGTATCCATGAACATAAGCTAGCCGTCGAAAGACATGACATCCACTCCCTCATATCTCTGCCTACAGACAACCACGGACATCAATTCGACTGGGACAACCAACGTTCAAATATTAGACAGAGGAAGCACCAAGAATGCTAGAGAATTTTCAGAAGCCTGCCTGGTATTCCAGTGAGTCGGCAGTCAACAGACACATCGAGATAGACAAAATTTACCAGTTAATAAGAAGGAAATCTCACATAAAACAAAGGGTCAAACTTCAGGTCAAGGGAACAATGAATGTCAATACCAATAGCACAAGTAGCCTAGAGTGTGTGAAAACACACAAAAGCAAGCAATGACGATGTTCAAGGTGACCACTCACCAGGAGAGATGACTCATAAACAACTTGTGGAGAAATCTGAAAGCTCACTTCAATCAAATTGAAGTATGCGCGCTGGAGATATTGCCTAGTAGGACAATGAAAGCTTCGGAAATTGACTCTCTAGCTCAGAGAACACAACCACATCAAAATCATCCACCTGAGCTACAAATCTTCTCCATCATATCCTCGCTTACTGTTAATAATATAATAATAAATCTTTATTTCAAACAATAAGCGAACATATGGGACAGGAATTTTCAGCGTATTTAGCTCCAAAATACTTTTCTCTTCTAACAGGATTTACATGTAAAGTAATAATCTGAAGTATATATCGTTGGATATGATGGAGAAGATTTGTAGCTCAGGTGGATGATTTGTGATGAGGTTGTGTTCTCTGAGCTAGAGAGTCAATTTCCGAAGCTTTCATTGTCCTACTTAGCGAATTCTCCAGCACGCATACTTCAATTCGTTGAAGTGACCTTTCACATTTCTCCACAATTTTATGAGTCATCTCTCCTGGTGAGTGGTTACATTGAACGTCATCATTGTTTGCTTTTGTGTGTTTTCACACACTCCAGGCTACTTGTGCTAATGGCATTGACATTCACTGTTCCCTAGACCTGAAGTTTGACCCTTTGTTTTATGTGAAATTTCCTTCTTATTGATTGATAAATTTTGTCTATCTCGATGTGTCAATTGATTGATGACTCACCGGAATACCAGGCAGGCTTCTAAAACTTCTCCAGCATTCTTGGTTTTTCCTCTATCTAATATTTGAACGTTGATTGTCTCAGTCGAAATGATGTCCGTGGTTGTGTGTATGTAGTGATATGAGGGAGTGGATATCATGTCTTTTGACGGCTAGCTTATGTTTGCGGATACGAAGACGAAGGGGACGTCCACTTCGGCCTATTGTATCAACTGTGAAAAACACTACATTTGCCAAAGTGGACGTCCCCTTCGACTTTGTATCCACGCACATAAGCTAGCCGTCAAAAGACATGATATCCACTCCCTCATATCACTACATACACACAACCACGGACATCATTTCGACTGAGACAATCAACGTTCAAATATTAGACAGAGGAAGCACCAAGAATGCTGGAGAATTTTTAGAAGCTTGGCATTCCAGTGAATCATCAATCAATAGACACATCGAGATAGACAAAATATATCAACCGATAAGAAAGAAACCTAACACACAAAGGGTCAAAGTTCTAGTCAAAGAAACAATGAGTGGCAATACAAGTAACCTAGAAGGTGTGAAAACACACGAAAACAACCAATCACGTCCAAGGTCGCCAGGAGAGATGATTAATAAACTCGTGGAGAAATCTAAAAGTTCACTTCAAGAAGTTGGAGTATGCGCTGAAGATGTCCCTTTAGTAGGGCGATGAAAGCTTCGTAAATTAACTATCCACCTCAGAGAACAAAACCACATCAAAAAGTATATATCTTTATTTCGTTGAAGAATTGCACAGTGTTTACTTGTAAGCAATTTAAATCAACACTCATGTTCATGCACAGGTCATTTGATATAACTAAACGATTAAAACAGTGATGACATATTCAGATGAAACAACAAACTGGACGAAGAAATATGCATATTCCTTCACTTCAATTAGTTCCTCGTCATCACCATCATCAGCTGGCTGGCTGACTGGCACGCTGGCTGACTGACTCTAGACTAATATACAGTGGGTTTTTTTACATCAAAATTGTTTTTACCAATCAAGTGGTTATTCTAGTCCGTCAGTTTTAGGTATGCGGGGAGGGGAGTGAAATTGAGAGGTTAAAAGTCATCAAATAGATGTTGGTTACAAGATATCTAAAACCTAAAATTGATCAAGTAAAATAACCACTTGATTAGTGAAATTTTGATGTAAAAAATCTATATATCAGTGTAGAGCCAGCCAGCCAGCCAGCGAGCCGATGATGATGAGGAACTAAATGAAAAGGAATGCATACGTCTTCTTGCAGCCTTTTGTTTTTTTCTAAATACGTAAATGAGAATTACTGGAATCCAGATAAAATAATGCATTTTGGTGGAAAGCAATTTCATTGGCCCAGTGACTTATGCAGACCGCCATTTTGACATACCATGCACTATCCATTAGTTGCCGGTCATGCGTTTTCTCTCTCGAATTCAATATGATTAGGAGGGAACAAGTTGACGTTGACTAGCAGTTAGTACAGTTACATATTTTTAAAAATTTTTTTATTATAGCTTGATTCCACACAGTATTTTTGGTACAAGTATGGAAGTTTCAGCATGTGATATCGGTAGCCCAAATTTTGCAGGCCGACCATTGATATCAGGTGTGCATCGGCAGGGGATCGAACCTCGGACTATGTTCAACAAATATGCAGGAAGAGGTGGAGGTTGATTGGCCGGCCATACTCTGAGAAAAGAAACAATCAAGTGACATCACACACTAGGCCATCACTCAAGTGGAACCCGAACGGGCAGTGGCGAGTTGGTCGTCAGTGCGAAGGTGGGGTGACTTGGAGGAGGTGATGTGAAGAGGAGATGAAAGCGTGTGGGGAGACTTGGAGCCAGGTGAAGACTCTAGCAGAGAACCGAGCGCAATGAAGACGCATGGCTGAAACCCTATATTCCTCTAGGAATTAAAGGAAACAATAATGATATAATAATCTAATGGAGATTATGGCTGATCTGTTTGTAAAATCAGCCATTTTTAAAATCTAAATTCAAATGTTGGTTTTCAGGGATTTGATTTCATTTGTTACAGGATTTTATCATGATGAGCTGACATCGGTTAGAGAACCATTGGTTAACCTGCAGACAGTACTGGACAGCTTTCCTATACAGATGAATCTAAGCTGTACCTAGTCATATTGTCACCTTTATTTAGGTCTTTTCTGAATTCACATGTGAATACATATTGACTTATATTGGCTTAATCTTTTTCTGTATGATATGCTCAGATTAGCATTTTGTAAAAGCTCCAAGGTGATACTTATTATGCTCATAGTTAAATGTCAAGTGGCAAAACAATTAATGTCATATGTAGAACAATTCATAGGATGTATAGAAGATGGAAGGGGGATAAAATTATAGGATTAGTAGGCAATCCATATGGGTCGGATACATAAGGATTTGAGCAATTTATTTTTCACCTCAATGAGATGACTTTAAAGACTGAGGCTGTAGAGATAGGGTAGTGGGTATCGACCAGATGTTCAATGATTGCGCTTTGTATGGCTCAACTTCCACTTCTTCGTGACCATTCTGAATAGTATTCTTGTACCCTCGTTCGACTCGGATTTTGTCCAGAAGGGTACAAGAACACTATACAGCATGGTTACGAAGAGGTGGAAATGGAGCTTAAAGAAGTGCAGTCATGAACATCTC